GGGGGGGGGGGGGGGGGGGGAGTTCCTTCGGTGGATCCTCTACTAGGGGTGCCTGGGAGTAACCCCCATAACGGAGGGGGTTCCGCGGGTCCTACCCAGGAAAATCTTAGAATCTCGTAATCTTATTAGACCCATTTCGATGCTTCCGTGCCGACGATTGTCCATCGGTTTCTGCAGAAAAATTACGTTCCTTCTGTGAGCCCTCAACAAAATATCCATCTATGCATGTCCATACTATAAGCTCCCAGACCTCCTAATTTTGCGTAACTGGTAACGCCTAGTTCCACCATTCTACGGGACCGATTTTCATGATTTTTGCGGAAATCGACGGGCAATTGTCTCTAGATTAGCCGCCTCTATTCAATTTTTCAAAATATCGTCGAGGTTACGCAGTTTGTCCATCGATGTCTGGAAAAAAAGCTACGTTTCTGGTTCGAACTTTCCGCAAAAAATACTTTCGTATTATATGCTTGCAAAAAGAAATTGAAATATAAACTCCATTTGTACCCATTCGGAGTCTTCCGTAATACAGGATCTTCATAAATCCACGCATAATTATTCACCTTCTTTTTTACTCAAACACAAAGTACATTCCCTTGTTTGTTACATTTAACGAGGCCGGAAAATGTATCAAATCCCGACTCTTTTTGGGCCCATTTCGAGTCTTTACCGTCGAAAATTTTTACATTCACCACTGTGCTTACATTGAAATCGCAACATTAAAAGAGATAATTATCCGCGATGCCTTACTCAATTTTTTTTCTTTTCGATGATTTGATCAAGTTCCGTCTCCTCTTTCCTCCTCTAGTTTCCTCGTTTATTTTACATTGTGGTGGGGGGGGGGCTTGACCCCCTCAGCGTCCAGCGGCCCTCCCCCCGGGCTACGTGACTGTGGAGTCCCATCGATTGAAGCATCGCTCCCACGCAGTCGTTTAAGCAAACATAATGGCGCATCGTTCCGCACGGTTGTTGATTCCGCTGTTTCGTCGGTGATTCGTCGTACCGCACGATATTTATACTGAGGCTCACGTGTTTCTCTGCTCGCAATATTGACAATGAAGATCCTTACAGTTCTCTGTTGTGGATCGCGAGGCTTCCACACTACACGGAACCGGCGGGCAAAGTGGAATTTGGCCTTTTAAAAAAATCTGTCCGTAGTACGGCGACCCTGGCGGTTGAAATTTAAACCAGAGAGGGTACCCATCTATTAGGAACTGTTTCTTTGCAAGAAACAATAACATAACCAATAAAAAATGACTTCAATAAAAAAACCGTCCTCCCCAAATTTTTTTGTCGCGCCCGCGAAAACTTATGGGGCCACGGGCAAAGTGAAATGGGTCCGTAAAGTGGAATCTGATCATTTTAAAAATCTTATTCGTCCTGTGGTGCTTGAAATTGAAACTAGAGAGGGCACTTATCCGCCGGAAACAGTTTTTATGCAAAGAGAACAACATAAGCAGTAATGAATCACAAAAGTAACTAGCCGACCCTTGCCAGATTTGTTACTCGCTCGTCAAAGCTTCTCCCTTTTTAGAAGTGTCAAATGAATAAATCCATGAATCCAACTCAATAAGTAATTACTCTAGTTTCGATTTCAAAAACAAAATTTGACCGAATCCGTTTCTCCTTCTAATTATTAATACAATTTCAAGGGCCGGTGTCTCGAATTCCACTTTGCCCGACTTAAGTCGGTCAAAGTGGAATTTTGCCTCTTTTTTGCATCTAATTTTCCTGGCCCTTTTTGAAAACTTTTTTGGCTTCTTTCACCTTTTTTCGATAAAAAAAGCGATGAAACTTCAATTATAAATAAACATAATGTTTTAGGTAGTTGAAACAAATTTCCTGTATCGCGTTGAAAAAAAGTGGTCCACTTCCCCCGGCTCTCCCCTATACCTGCGAGACGGCAACAGTCGATTCTCGAAACGTTGCTTATTTCACAGTACCCTTATAATCGAAATAAAAGACATTTCCCCGTACGCTGGTGAAAATGTGCCGAACCCAAGCTTTTTTACCACTGTCCAGCATGATGGTTCGGAAGGTGGAGGCGACAGCCCGTAATACTACATACGTACGGCTACAAAAGAACATGTATTCACCTGCAGAAGAAAGAAACGCCTAATCGACCGACCACGATCGGTGACCGAAAAACTAGTGTTTATTTCCGATGATGCATCTTGAATAAAATTTCTACACCATACGGCGTAATGTCTTTCATCTCGGTAGGCGGTACCCAAACAATATTAATGGAAATAGACAATTTGTTCAAAGCTGGATGTCGCCAAGACATGTACAATGCCTTCGCCTCCTCTTCCTCCTCTTATTGCTTCCTACATGTCACTAAAGCGGCTGTCCGAGCGTCCGGCTTACGGAATGCGACCATAACTTCTAACTCAATGTCGATTGTTTCCTTTCATCCGCAGATCAGAGCCCCGGATGCCATCAAGGCAAAAATTCAAGACGATTTCAATAAAACCATCCGTTTTATCCAAGGCAATGACAATCAGCAGCCTCCGTTCCCGGTGATCGAGCAGGTAAGTTCGGTAACATCTCATACCCACTACCCGATCTGCAAAAGCTATCAGAGTCCAAGCCCCCTTCTTCTCTCGAGAGATGGAAAGTTCCTCGACGAAAACGGTGGGGGGTGTCGTGTTGTGTGCCACTACGTAACTTTAAACTTTTAATTTGTGATTGTAATGTAATACCAACATCCTTCCCGAAACGGTCAGCCTTCCAGAGAGATCACCTGGACCACAAAACATCAAAAATGTTGACCTCTTTAATGTAATGCTGCCTCGAAATCCAATCAGACTATAAGGCCCTTGAATTTTCGAAATTACGTCCATTTCACACATTGACCGTTGATATTTCAGTGACGAAAATCAGAACCACTCTTTCCTCACGTCAAAATTGTTCTCTTTTTCAATTTTCTGTCAAACGTCTTTAACAGTTTAAAACGGGGGGTTATGATATGAAAATCCTTAGTTCGTGTCCCCGCAGGCACCTGGGGGTGGATCCCCCAAATTTTCCACCCCCGAAAATGTACCTTCTTCATGACCTACAAGGTTTCTCAGAATTTCATATTGCTACAAGGAACAAGCGGCCGTTCAAAAGTTCGCCGACTGTCCTGAAACTTCCGCCTCAGCCTGTCTACGAATCTGGTGCTCTCTCGTCACCCTGAATAAAGTTGCCCCTTGAAAAGAGTAAGTCAATTTTGAGCACCGGTATATTCAATATCAGGCAATTAGAAGGAACAGTAGACTCGAAGAAAATATAATTCATGCGCGGCATGAACGCGAATTTTCCGCAGTCCCGGCTAGCCGCTACTGAACACCCGTAATTTTATCGCGGGATCATGAAATCGGGGGCGGTTCAGTACTTCAGGCCCCTCGGGGTCCTTATTTTGGCTGTGCCGAAAGACGGGACTACCGATTTGAAAACAGCTCATGCGATATGGAAACGTCTATTGCAGCACGAGAGGATCCACGCAAAGCACAATTGTCTTCGACACTTTGTAAGAAGGTGTCGTTACGCGGTTTAAGCCGTTGTTAAATGAAAGGGTTTTCCGCTCCGGATGAGAGTTAACCGTTTGCCTCATTCAAAAATCTCTTCCGATATCGAATGAATCCAACGGACCACTAGAGAAGGTATACGAATTTCAGCAGTCTGAAACTCGTAACTTAACCAAAATTCCACGTACAACACGATGGGCACAACGAAAAATTCTACAATCAACTCCTTACGAAGATATTCAGTGATTCTCGATGCGCGAATTGAAATCAGCCTCTCTTGAGAACTCAATAATGCTCTACGTTATTCACATCGAGCGCTAAACCTTATCATGACAGTCTGCGTGATATATACAGCTGGCTGTCTCGATATCGACGCTTCGGCTCGGCGATAGCAAATTGCTTATAGTTTGAAGAAGACATAGTGGGTAATTATCATTGCTCGATTGAGAAACTTGTCGAAACCGTTGCAGTGCGCGATTGGGCTCACTTAGAACTTTCACTTCCTTCCGCGGGAGGAGCCCAAAATCCCTCAAAACCAATGTGAAATAAGCACATTCATATCTCTATAACGTTCTCAGCCCTCGAGCCAAGCAGCTGAACGCGTAGGGGGACTACAGATGGGGGCGTGTCCACCAGACAGGGTAACCTAGATAAAAGGGGGTGGTCTAGGGGGCGTGTAAGAGACAGGGCTCTTACATCCCCCTAGGTGTGAGACCCCCCAGGACTCCAAAATCCTCGGAAAGCAACTGGTTAGGTTGCCATTCCGTGGACTCTGGCCGCCGGCGCCCGAGACTGGGGTATACGCAATTGAGGGATTCCTCGGGCTATCTGACAAGGCTGTGTCTGGTGATGTCACCGAGCAATGTCACTGTCCGATGTGACAAGCTGTGTCATGAAAAACCTCGTCGTTCCACTGATTTTCCGGGAGCGTCGCCAGCCCAATGCTTTCAAGACGCGGCGCTTCAATATTCCGTTATAATCTCTGTCAGGAGTTGCGTTCACTAATTTTCCTTGTGCGAATGGTGTTTTAGGTACGTGAAATTCTCCCCAAGGGACATGTAGGAATCAGATTGCATAAAAACGTACCTAGTGTAGTCGTCCATTGAACCACTAAATGATACACGGAAAGCACAATTGCTTCCGACACTTTGAAGAAGGTTGTTTTTACGCCGTTTCAGTTTTCCTTTAACAAACCGTTTCTTCGCTCCTGAGAGTGAAGGATTTCACCGATTTCAAAAATCTCCTCCTCTGTCGAATTGATAATTGCACCACTAAATAATAGACGCAAACCACAATGGGGCTGTTTTCACTAATTCATTTTATTCCTTTAATCGAAACAACTAAGGCTCCTGATATGTCACAGGAATTTTCCCGGAGTTTTTTGATCACCGGAAACCCCCAAAAAATCAACTTAAAAACACCTCAGAGTTTGCATTCTCAAAACCGTCGTTTCGGGTCCGCCGTACTTACTTGTGCCGTGAAATGGTTCGACAGACTTGTTTTCTTCATGACTTACTTACCATCTACTTTTCCCGTAAAGAAATGGCAGCCCCATTCCGAATGCAAATATCGAGTCAATCTATAAATTTTTTATCTTAACGGAACTCAGAAATGGATTCCTCTTACGCTTCAATTGTTAAGACCTTCTTTAGATCAATTACAACCGACGGGATAAACCCTACTTTTAACATAGTCGGTGCTAGACCTTCATTCTTGCGGGTGCCCATAGGTGAAAAATGTCGGAGCCCCGCTCCAAAGGGGACGGTCTCTCAAGGGAGGCCTAAGTTTCGGCCCTCAAGTTTTTATCCCTTCCCTACCCTCCGTTCTCTTTACCTCTTCTTCCTCTCCACTTAATCAACCTGTAAATTCAATTTATAAAATTTTTAGGAATTCCTTCCATCAAAAGTACGCAATTTTTTCATAAAAAAACGGTGGAATCTTTGTAAATCACGGTTACCAATTTTAATTCTACTTTAAACATTTTCAATTAATTGCTGGGATTTTTCCTCAGTGTGGGCGAATACGGAATCTTTAAAAGCAGTAATTTCACGGTTCCGATAACCGTACCTAATTTTTTGCTGGGAAGGTGCCTGGCACCCACCGGCACCCCCCTAGAATCGCTTATGATTCTTAAGGAGGACTGTAATCAATGGGCGATTGTTTACAGCTGCTTATTGATAACAGACATGGACATTACCTCAATGTGTACCCATTTTAATGAGTTTGTACTTTTGTCTTACTATTTAAAGGAAAGTTTATTTTGTAAATCAATCGTTCAGCGGTTTAGGATGATGCTAAAAGCTTTAAAGGTACACTTGGTTACTTATTAATTCGGAACACACGCCGGCAGTCCAACGCTCAAACGTGGATGTAGCGAGTCACTTCTTATTTCTTAATACTTCACCCTTTAATGGTTCACTGAAGGCACCAAAATGATAGTATCAATCATTGATGATGAAAAAAAATTACCTTTTACAATACCGATGAGATGGCGAGGAGACCGGTATGTTTTAGCTGCAGCCAAGGAAAGTACACGTGAGGATCCTTCTTCGGTTATACCAGACTTTACCGATACATTTTCCTTCATAGTGTTACATTGCAAATAACTATGATTTAAAAATAACATAAGCGTATAAAACGTGGGTACTTTGCTGATTGAAATTGAGATGTTTGTTGAAGAGTTAAGAATGATTCAGACCCATTGAGAGAACATCCACGGTTTGAGCGTTGGACTGCCGCAGTGTGTTCGGAATTAATAAGTAACAAAGTATAATACATTTACAGCTTTTAACATGATCCGAAGGCCCTGAATAATTGATTTAGAAAATAAACTTACCTACAAATAGTGAAAAAAAAGTAATAAGTCATCAAAATAGCTGAATATTGGCGTAATGTCCATGTCCGTTATCACTAAGCAGATGTAAACAATCGCCCACTGAATCCATCCATCCATCCATTCATCCATCCATCCATCCATCCATCCGTCCGTCCGTCCGTCCGTCCGTCCATCCATCCATCCATCCATCCATCCATCCATCCATCCATCCATCCATCCATCTATCCATGGTAATGGTGCGATCATATTACGATTCAAAAGCGTGTCGATGATGAACTGCCTGTTGAATGCCAATTTCTTTTTGCAGGAGATCACTGGGGACAGACGGTGCTTTACCGTCACTGGGCGGAAGGTCACGGATACGACCACCCTTAAGGATTACGTACGAGAGGGTTTACGAGACAGCGAAGGAACCCTACATCAATATGAGGAGGAGTTTTGGAGTCGAATGGCCGTGCCTCCCTTCTCCAAACGGACTTATGCTGCCGACCTGACCCCCTCCGAAGCCCGCTTTGGAGGCCCTCCTGACGGGGTGAGTATTCCATTACATTTTATTCGAATGCATCGTAAACATAAGAGAAACAGGGTGACAAGTTGATGCCAGGAATACGGACTGAAGCAAATCAATAACGACTTCAACGAGTCACCACTGGAATCACATTTACCTACTGCCTCCGTTGTAGGATGAAGGATGAATGCGTTAGAGTTGAGCAGTAAGGAACCAACCCACATTTTGGAAGAAATTGACCTACAGTTGTTTTAAACTCAACCATTTCTCTACTCGCTACCAAAAACTTATACCCGAAAATTTAAATTTTCGGTTGGAGCAAATTTTTCCAGAAATTGAACTTGAAGTTTATCTTTTACACTGAGGCTTCATAGGGAGCCAAACCTTAAACCTCTCTCTCTTTCTTCCATCCCGATGTGTCGAGTTCCTTTATGCTTATCGCCGTCCGATGAATAGTACCTCCTCAGAAAAACTTGCCGACAACAAGACGGACAAACAAGAACGCCATCACGGAAAAAAACGACATCCCTGTTACACCCACGAGGGTGGGTACAATGGAAACGACTCTATCCACGGACCCCCCAAAATCGCCCGTTTCAAAAGTTAACGAAATTTATACCAGTGATAGAGGGGCACTTCCCGCCTCCAAATCCGGGGTTGCTTTAGTCCCCAGCCCCCCGAGTGGGACGGTCCCATTTTTTTAAAGTCGAAACATGTTAAACCCCATAACTTTGGAGCAATTAAAGATACAAAGGTGCCGTTTGTTTGAGTCGATGGAACATAAAAAGACCTATAGTTTAGTATATAGATTTTATCCATTGTTGCCAAATTTACCCAAAAATCGACAATGCTTCGATTTTTTCGAGGTGCAAAAATACGGTTAACAACAGTAAAAGTGGGTATTGCGACAGGACGTAGGAAAAAAAAGGACGCGTAATTAAAGCCCTTAATGTGAGCTTTCCAACGGTATATCGGTTTTTCCGGGGCAACGATTCCATCGCGAGATACAGGCATTCAAAGTCCGACTTGGCGAACTTTTTGAGGTCCCCGGTCATTCGCACCTAAAAAAATCAGTACTGCGCACGCACGCAGGAAAATGAAAATTACATTTAATGAAACATCTTTATCCCAGCTTTTCAACGGTGTATCGTTTTTTCCGGGGAAACAATTTTGCGCGAAATACATGCCTTCAATGTTCATTGCAGCGGTTTAGGTCCTGTGCAATATTACACGAAACAGGGCACTGAATAGACACTTACCGACCTCATTTACAGATTTATTAATTTGGGTGAAAAAATTAATAATTAGAATATCCGCAAAGTCAAACGGCATTTTGGAATAAAAAATGTAGAAATAACCTAACAAAAATTACAAGTATAAAATAAAGAAAAAAAAGACGGACTTACGTTACTCATCCTGTTCAGAATTGACATCGCCCTCCGATGCGTCGTCTCGATTGTTCCGTCTTTTCTTCATTGGAAAACAATCTTGCAGAAATGCAGCCAGTGACTCGACGTCTTCCGAATGCCGACCAAAGAGAAGGTACCGTACAATAGCCACGACATGCGAGCAAGGACACACTGTCCCAGCCCCATTGAGGCATGTGCAGTAGCTGCCAACAACAGCTTTTGACGCAGAAGTGGCTGCGTCGATTGTAGCAGCCAGTCACCCACAGTTTGAAGTTCCCGCCAGAGTCAGAGTCGAGAGAGCGGCGGGAACAACAGCGAACCTAGTGAGAGAGGAGAGAGAGTAGTAGTCGTCTGTCGTTGTCAAGTTGTGGAGATCGCGACGGCGTCGCTGTGTAAATTTTTTCCAAAACGTAAGTTTTTCTTGGATTCACTCCTTCTGGGGTGATCTTCTTTTCTCCGAATATGTGATAATGTAGAGTTTCGAGTTGTGCGGGGTGGCCGCAGGGCCAATCATTTGTTCTTTCTCAAAGTGTTTGTTCTTCTCTGAAACCGTCCTCCCGGACGAGCCACAAAGGCTCGTTCCGGCTAGCCTTCGTGGCTTGTTAGAAAAATGATAATTTTGTACACTCTAATACCAACCGTATATTACCGCATTTTAAGGGAATATTAAACATACAACGTCAACGGAATCTCCGAGACAACGGATCCATTCTTATGTATCATGTCTCCCCTGAAACACAATCCCTGAGATTCCGACTTCTTTCTTGCACCCTTTATGCGTTCCGAGTGTTTTCATTCACGTTGAGTCTTCCACACTATCGATTTTTCCGAGGCAGGGAATCGATAAAGTAGATCGAGAAATTGTCTATTTAGTGTCCTGTATGTATCATGTATTATTGAATATGACCTGGGACGTGAACTATCACGATGGGCGAAGAAACAATCCGCGCAGGGTACGTAAAAACCCCGCTACAGTGAACATTGAAGGCATGAATACCGCGACAAAATTGTTTCCCTGGAAGAACCAATAGACCGTCTGATAGACCATACCAAAGACTTTCATTACATGTAATTTTCCTTCCTCCTATGTGCGCGTGCCCAGTACTGATTTCTTGAGGTGCGGATGACCGGGCACCTCGAAAAGTTCGCCGAGTCCGACTTTGAAGGCCTGTATCTCGCGATAGAATCGTTTCCCCGGAAAAACCTATATACCGTTGAAAAGCTCACATAAAGAGCTTCCGTTACATATGAGTTTCGTTCTTCTGCCAGCGTTCGCAATACCAATTTTTTGAGGCGCGAATGACGCGAGACCTCAAAAAGTACGCCGAGTCCGACTTTGAACGCCTGTATCTCGCGATAGAATCGTGGCCCCCGGAAAAACCGATATACCGTTGGAAAGCTAACATTAAGGGATGTAATTACGCGTCCTTTTCTTTTCCTACGTCCTGTCCCAATACCCACTTTTACCGTTGTTAACCGTATTTTTGCACCTTGAAAAAATCGAAGCATTGTCCATTTTTTGGTAAATTTGGCAGCAATGGATAAAATCTATATACTAAACTATACGTCCTTTTGTGTTCCATCAACTCAAACAAACCGCAGCTTCGTATCTTTAATTGTTCCAAAGGTATGGGGTTTAACATTTTTTCGACTTTAAAAAATGGCACCGTCCCACTCGGGGGGCTGGTGACTTAAGCAACCCCGGATTCGGAGCCCGGAAGTGGCCCTCTATCACTGGTATGAATTTCGTTAACTTTTGAAACGGGCGATTCCGGGGGGAGTTTGGGGGGGGGGTGGTTTGCCGTGCACAGAGTCCTTTCACATTGCTAAAATCGTGTTTTCAAATGTGGGTGGTAAAATTCAAAAACCAATTCCCAGCAAAGGGACATTGAAAATTTCATTATCCCAGAATGAAATTTCGAGTTCACCCCCATACTAGGAACGGGACATTCTCCGAATAAAATTGGTGCTTTTCCAAAATTATTGTTAAGGAACCAACCTCATTTTCCGACCACTAAATAATTTACTATCACACGGAAGAAAATGCATTGGTGATTTTAACTATGTCCGTCTGGTAAGTCAGGATTTAGCAAGAGTGAGTGACTACAATTACAAGAAATGCAGATAATCTTCTTGACATGTGACACTAAATCAAAAGATGCACTCGCCAAATCAAAGTAGTAAAAAAAAAAATTGACATGAGCCATATTTACTACACCAACGGTCAAATCGACCCGTCAGTGTGGTTTGCTCCTCTTGACGTGTTAGTTCCAAATTACCACACAGATATTGGTCAATGATGCTAACCTACAGAGGCCACATTTACCACACCAATGGTCAAAACGACTCGTTAGTGTTGGTTCACCTTATTCAAGTAATTCGTTTTGGTGCTATAGCAAATCTGTGGATATTTCACGTGCTGAACGAGAGAGAGAAAAAAACACTAAGAAGTGGCCCGAACTGTATGTAACAAGGTGGACAAATAGTGCTTGGTCCACACCATTTCGCGGAGAAAACAAAGACCCAAACCGGTATACATCTCTCGCCGTGACTCCAACTTTTAATATTCCAATGCAAACTGCCTGAGCGGAACACTCTCCGCCCTCATAGTTTTGTACTGTCACTCATTAGAGTTAAGAAATAATTTTTGCCTCTAATTATAATTTTTGGAACTTCTTGGCTTTGTTTTCCCCGCGAAATGATGTGAACCCAGCACTATTTCTCCACCTTGTTTACATGCTGAATTTCACGCATAAACCTCAATGATTTACACGTCAAAGTCTGCTGTAATTCAAGTCTCATGTAGAATCAGCATGTAAAAGTTTTACATGTCGATTCATTTACACGGAAAATTTATTCAAATTTCGATGCCAGTCACCATCGAAAAATTTTACATGCAAAATTTCCTCGTAAGAAAATAATACACATGCAATTATTAATGTAACACTTTTAACTTGGATTTACTCAGAGTTACGTTGCAGCAGTTGGCAATGAGAATACCCTTTCATTCGTACCCATCAACCTATGTTCGTTTTATTCACAGTCTTGTTATGCATGTAGTTCCAAGTATAATTTCCAGTCAAGCTATCATTGTAATTCATTTAGCTGTATTTCTTTTCGAATTTTTGTTTTGAAGTTCAATTGCCCTAGAAAAAATAACTACTTGAGTAATCTGACTGGAACGTATTCATCGGTGGAACTACCCAAATGTGGTAAAGATAGATTCTATTTCCTGAGGGGCAAGATGGGATCATGTTTTACCAACTGAACTTCTTCATGGTGTATTTTATTATTATTAGTTTTTCCAAATAGTATTTTCCAAGATTTCCCCCTTTTACGATAATTATTAATTAGATGAGGTGTAGTCTAATTCTTCGATTCATCAATTTACAATTTTATGTGGAATTAACATTTCTTTTTCTTCTTTCCGCCGAAGTATTTTTATTAGAAACCATCTCTTTCATTATAATAATTTTAAGAAGTTGATTTAAATAAAAACGTACGTAATACAGATTTAAAAAAAATAAATCATGGATAAATCAAATCTTGACCGGGACACTTACAAGTAAGGTCCTTATTTGAATGTCCCTCTTCCGTTGGCTTCGGTGGTGTAACGGTTAGGATGTTAGATTAGGGTACGGTAGGTCCCGGGTTCCATCCCAAGGTAGGTCCGGAAAATTAAAATTCCGTTTCACAGGTTTAATTGGTGTCAAATAATTTGAAATAACTGAAGGTAGGTAAATTGTTTAGTAATTTTGCATGTGCTGTTATCGTTTATTAATAAAAATTGCGAGAGGCACAAATTCTACTGCCGAAGCGAGTATTCTGCGCCTGAATTTCTAACAGTACTGTTGGCCAAGGCAACCTACGAGGTTTTGTAGATGGAACTGTTAGAATGGCATCATTAACTAGAATAATGCTCCGTGGAGATATGCTGGCATGGTCTATTTTACCACACCACCATATCCGTGTGGACGAAACGGTCGTTAGTCAGATTTACCATTACCACAATAGTCGCTAGGGCTATAAGATTAGTCAGCTCATATGGAGGTATTCGGTTTGGTAAAACTCGCCGATTTATTAGCAGCAACGATCACACTTTTTTTCCAGTGTGCAGTATCACTTACCTACACTACCAAAATCCATCCGCGTGCCCACCCTCTGGGAGACGTTTTCGGTACTAATCTTCTCTCGAAAGTGCATCTGCGTTACAAGATCATGAGGTTCAGGTGATTCGATTGACGACATATTTCGTGCAAGAACGGCATCCGATATATGGCATCAATCGGTTCCATTGTTCTCACCTACTCGTCGTCATTTTTCTGCAATCTAGACATCGCAATTCTGTTGGCAGGAGACTAAAGCAATCACTTGCCGATTCCAACAAAGGTATTCAACGTAATAAAGGCTTGGTTAATTTTAAAGAAAATATATCCAATTCCAGTGCAATTTCGATATGAGTATCGAACGCGAAGTTTTCTCTCCGAAAAAACCGCACCTTTATTACGCTGAATTTCTTCGTTAAAATTGGTAAGTGAGTCGTTCGGTTTCCGGACAACAGAATTGCCATATCAAAATAGGAGAAAAAATGACGAGTAGCTGAAAAAATAGGAACAATTGATGCAATATATCGCATGCCCTTATCCGACACAAAATACGGCGTCCATCGAATACCTGAATGCAAGAGTTGTTTCTTGCCTCAGAACCCGCTCCGTCTTAGTCCGGAAAAGAACCCACGCCTCGGGCCGGAGTTGAAATCCCGAGTCCAGTTCCTAATCCACAGATGAGTCAGGTTCGATATGAAAGGACGCCTAAATTCAATCTCTTAAAAAGGCAAGAGGCCCGCGAGTCCTTCATATGTTTCCTTATTGACGAATTCTTATATTATTTGCTTCGAGGAAAGAATATTAGTACCATAAAAACGTTTCCTAAAGTCCGCGGACACGGTTGTATTTTGCTATTGGGAAAATTGCAAAATGTCGTATCTGACCTAACAATAATAGTGCAAAATTAGTAATTTTACATAATGTTCCTAATGCCCCAACATTACACTGACGAAATATCGTTTTTAACATTTTTAATCGCAAAAATGACCCTACATTCCCCATACATCTTGAAAAAACCTCAATTCAAGAGGTGCTTAAAATCGCAAAATGGAGTTTTCTAAACTAGCCATCGACTTTACCAAGTGACCCAAAGTAATCCGTAAGAAGAGCCTAACCATTCGGCAATCCTTCTGACGAGCTATCAAAAGTTTCAGCCACAACAGCAAAATCTACTAATGTTACTTCCGCAAATGGCTACTTTTATATACTCGTAAAATAAACTTACCGTTCATGCAAATTCTTTTGTCATTCTCGCCACGGCGCGGCGGTGAGCACTTCACCAAAAAAGGGGAATGAACCACTAGACAAGGTACGAATTCAATCATTCTGAATCATGTTTCTCGACCAGAATCTCACCTACAACACGATTCGCGGAACGAAAATTACTGAAAAAAAATTCTTACGAAGATGTTAACGTTTTTGTTTCACATTGTTTACAAGGAATTTAAAGTGCCCGCAGAAAATGAACCCAAAGCTCTGCGTGAATCAAATCGCGCACTACAACGGTTTCAGCAAGCTTCTCAATCGACCGATCTTCATTTCCCACCGCGTGTCGTTCAACCTATAAGCAACTGCCTATAGCTGAGTGGAAGCGTCAATATTGACGTTGCCAGATTTTTATATCGCATAGACTGTCATGATAACGTTTAGCGCGCCATGTGAGCCACGTAGAGCATTGAGTTTTCATTAGCGGGTGGTTTGAATTCACTTATCAAGAAACATGAAATATCTATGTAAGGAGTTAATTTCCGTAAATTTCGTTGTGCGCAGCGTGTTCTGCGTGAAATTTTTGTTAGGAAATATGTATCAGAATACTGAAATTCGTGCCTTGTCTAGTGGGCCATTGCAGTTAGCGCAAAACCTCCTTCTTCTCATTATAGCGCATATTTCGTTTTCCAGTCCACTCATTAAATGATGCTTTCTCAGGCTAATTGAAATATTTAAAAAAATCAGTTTTCAAATTCCTACAGCTCCATTCCGAGCAAACTCCAATGCTACATCTTCTCCGTCACGTACATTGATTCAAATCCGTCATTTATAGGGAAATGTGCAGGTACTTTTCAAATGCAGTCGGGTTTCTTTCCGAAGAAAATTTCCCATTAAGAGGTAATGAAAATCGGTACGGACTGTAGATTCCTGTGTTACGAGGATATCCTCTGAATGACGGTAAAATTTCCGAAATTACAGACGATCCTTTAGAAGGTGAATTGTTAGCAAAACCATTCGGAAGACTGATATGCTTTATGAATTCTGTTCCCTTGCTTCTTCAGGTCCTGGATGTTGACAGGATCTCGTCTCTGTTGGACGGGACCAAAGCCGGGACGATAGCCGGGGTCGGGTCGCAGTACCTGTACTTCGGGAAGGCAGGCACGGTGTTCGCCTACCATTTAGAAGACTGCAACTTCCTATCGGTCAACATCCACCTGGGGGGTGCCCCCAAAGTCTGGTGAGTAAAATTCTAACCATTACGACCCACGCCACGAGGCTATTCGTCAAATTTCGCATCCTCAAAGCAGCTACCCCAGTAGCAGAACCATGGAAGGAGAAGATAAAGATTATGCAACAAAGTTTTTGTTTCTTTTGGATACAACCCATGCATACGAAAGCGTTAAAAGTGAACATTTGTATGTAAAGTGAGGTCCGGTAACTGGGCAAGAGTTCGGAGAAAAATGTCAAAATTTCGACTGCATGATTTTTTCCACATCATTATATTGACAGTGGTGGCTACACTTGAATTTTTTTTGGTGAGTACAACACGTTGTCTAAATGAAGGAAGAGTCGAAAGTCGAATTTCATCTTTCAATTTTTTCCCACAAATTTTTCGAAAATTTCCCGTTTTTTGGACCCAGCTACCCAACGTCGTGCGGTAACTGGACTACCCCCCCCCCCTTAATTTTGGAGGGGGCCATTATTTCTAATTCTCATTGGCCAGAAGGTGATGTCCTCCTCATGAAGGTTTAAGAAAATGTCATTTGAATGTAAATAAACATGTGTAAGTGGTTAAGAATGATGTCGTAACACTTAGCGGCTAACAACCCCTTAAATTTGAGAATTGAATAACGGTAAAAAAAAAAAAAAAATTGTTTCCTTGTACATAAATGCTTACAACTTTTTGTATTACTACTTATCTAGTCGTATTGTATGCCTGGACACTGTTTGGTCACTTCTAGTGAGACTAAGCATGATAAATTTTTAAAAAAAGAAAAAAAAATTAAGCCGGAAGGCTGATTTGGGGTAGAGTCAGGCGGCAAAAAGCTCCCTTCATTTTTATGGGGGGGGGGGCATTATTTGTAATTCTCATTGGCCACAAAGGAATGTCCTTCTCATGAAGGTTTCAGATAATTTCATTTGAATTATTATAACCATGTTTAAGTCGTTAAAAGTGATATCGTAACAGTTAGCGGCAAAAATATAATCAAGTAATGCTTCAGTTAGGGAGACCGGGGATGTGTTGACCAGATTTTTTGAAAAATTGTGTCCGAAGAAACAGAAGAATAGAATGCCATTTCTTTAATGCTCTAATCCTTGAGCATACAGTGTAACATTAAATAAACTGAAAACATTGTACAAAATACTTTAATTTTGTCAGTGTCATGCGTTTTTAAAAGAAAATCCATTTTGGTCAACATAGCCCCTGCTTGGGGCTATGTTGGCCACCCCCGCGGCTAAGTGAGCCACCTGTAAGGAAGCTATGTTAACCTTGTTCAGTTGATTGTAATTCCACTCAAAAAAGCTTAGTATTATGCCCTTACACTTATCTTTCGTGATCTTTGTACAACTCAATACCTTCGGAGCTCAAAATACAGGGTTATTCAAAAGTTACGCACCACTGGCCATAACTTTAGTTCTAATTATGATATTGATTTGCGGTTTGTGGCGTCCTTCTTCATATCGAAGGGGAAACTTTTTGAGGTACTTTTCAGTTTTTCACCCCCCCAGGGGGAGGGGGGGGCGGGGGGCAACTCAAAAATTTCAAATGGCAACCCCCATCATGTGATACATCGTTAGAAAGAACATGAAAAAAGAAAATTTTTGGCGCAAACCGGAAGTCGATCTGACCCCCCTGTCAAAAATTAGGGGGGTCCAAAGGTTATTTAGGGGGTCCGTACCCTCATTTTTTAGAGTAGCTTCGGCGGCTCTTGGACATACCGTTTCTCTTTTCAAAGAGTCCTCGAATACTCNTCTTTCTAACGATGTATCACATGATGGGGGTTGCCATTTGAAATTTTTGAGTTGCCCCCCGCCCCCCCTCCCCCTGGGGGGGTGAAAAACTGAAAAGTACCTCAAAAAGTTTCCCCTTCGATATGAAGAAGGACGCCACAAACCGCAAATCGATATCATAATTAGAACTAAAGTTATGGCCAGTGGTGCGTAACTTTTGAATAACCCTGTATATATATAAAAAAAAAAAAATTTTAAAGAACAGTATCAAATTTAATAAGTGAGTTGGCGTGAAAAGCAACTTAAAAAACAATAAGAACATCTACTTTTCCACTGAGTAGGATCGTTTTAGACTCAAAGAAAATGGATTTGAAACCTTACGCCAAAAAAAATATAAAATGTAGGTTTTTTTAGTAGGTCAACATAGCCCCAGAAAAATGGTCCACATAGCCCCGATTGAGATTACCTCAAATCAAAGTCATCCAACTAAGAAACAAGGAGTCAAAGCCCATAAATCCATACACTAAAATCAAAGGAAAAGGGGTCTACTTCAAATAGAATCAAAGATTAATAAGATACAAAATAAATACTCGCCACAGCAAACAAAATTCAAAATTAAAAAAATCGCGTTTTCGGTCTATATTCGAAGGTAAACAAGAATGTTACAGCACAGAGCATAACAGAGGGGGACACCATCGATGTTCATATTTTAAATTGTTAGTCTACATCTCTGCCAACCTTTTTTCTCATCAAAACATCAAATTGACCTTTTCCTCTACAGAATTCTCACGATGGTTATCATAGCCCCGTGGCCAACAAAACCCCCGTCTCCCCTATGATATAATTTACCTAAGTTAGAAGTTTAGTCTGCTGGGAACACTGATTATTGGTCTTTGGCACTCAAAAGTCCGCAATAGTCAATTAATTTGGACATTTGCAAAAGGAAACAAACACTGAAGCACAGCAACCTTGCAATGGGTAACTGGGCAGGTGCCACCTGCCCATGTACCTTGGGGTAGGTAACAAGTTAGCCCATGAAGGGAAAATTTTCAAGGACACTGGGCATCAACCCTTTGCCGCCAGAGTTTTCATCCAATTACGTTGTAATTGCTCACGCATTACAGTAGTACATCATACATGAAGAAGAAATTACAAAGTTGAATAAAATCCTTACTGGGAGTGAGATATGAGGCTCTTTTCGGGATCACCTCCGGCGTTGTTTTGAAAAAAAAGCTGTCCAATTTTCGGCACTTCACCGATGAACGTAAACATTTTTATTGAGACAATGTTTACATCTTCTACATCGTTTACGTCATAATGAACGTATACCAAGAGTGAAAACAATTTTTACACTAATATGGTAGAAATACAGAGGGTACCGCCCAGTTACCCCTCCGCCCGGTTACCCGACCCCACCTTAACCATTATTTTAAAAAAAAGTCATAATTTTCGTTACCTTTTCTCAAACATGCTTAAAAAACATTATAATATACGAAAATCTCACGAAAATGATGACCTTTGTTTTATATAATAGTTACATACAGCCGTTCACTTTTCACACTTCCGTATGCATGCGTTATATAAAGAAATGGAAAAATTTTCTATAAAAAAAAGTTACCTTTTCTCCCTTCTATCATTTTTCATATATTTCTTTAACGTCTGAACTTTCATTTTTTTCCCTGTATGTAAGCGTTATACGTTTGTTATATAAAACTACCGTTTCGATAACAGATATATCTCTTTAATACTTCGTTTAGAAGAACAAAAATTTGTTCTGCTACCAGGGAACCCTCATTCCATAATCGCAGGTGTTTTACGAACAGCCACCCTTAAAAATCCATTTCTGTCGGGTACTATGCTTCAACTGTAAACCACGTCTCCTCAAGTACCTTCAAAGAAGCAGACGAAATGAGAGAGATTCTTTCCAATACCTGTAATTGCAGCTTGGAGAAAAATCCGCTCCAAGGGGGGAACGCGTGTTACTTGTATGAGCCATCGGTTCCGGACTTTCCTGGATACTTGAGTAACTCTGCTCCTTTCGAAGTCATATAAACTTGCTGCAAAACCCATCGCCAGACGCACAACCCCCGCAGCTTTAAAAGTACACGCTGGGGTTTTCTTAAACGACCTTGAGGCTTTCGTAGTGTGAAGCCCACTTCCTAATGAGAAATCAATCCGTATTACGGGCGTGTGAAATGCCTCGAAAGGAGTACCGATAATTATTCGAAGATTCATCATACGAATATGGTTCATCATCTCCGCCGAAGGGCCCTCATCAGTCATATTTCTCACAACTTTCTTCGACAGTAAGCTCACGTAGGATGGCGCAGCCGCCGACAATACGATACGATGAATCTTCCAATAATTCTGCGGCTCTCGAACCATTTCATCCACTCATATTACCTGGTGACTCTTCAGTTCCCCGAAAAAAAAGTTGTTTCCCTAGTAACGGGTTTCCCACACTACATTCGGCCCCCTCGGAACTTAGGTAGTCGAAGGATTTTAATTGAACATATTTTTCATGCCACCGACAACCCTCTACTCCTTCGTAGGTTTTTCAAGACTTTATACTTTGTCAGCTTGACGACAGTCACCACTTTCGTACCGGGCGTTACATTATATCGCCGATATCCCTAGTAAAACCCTAATACAGGATTATCCGAAAGTCACCTAACACCCCTAACTGTAACTGTTTTCATAATTGAGATAGCAGTTTGAAACTCCGGCAATGTTCCACCCTCTGAAGTACCAACTTTTTCGGTCCCCCCAAAAGTTTGGGCGTCGGCCCTCCCAAAGGGGGGCGGGCGACATCTGGTTTTTTTCCGGAACAGCAACCCCCGTCTTTCGATTCGTCATCCTCAAAATATTAAGAAAGGAAATTTTGGGCCCCAACACCACGGCAAAAAGGCGATTGTTGACAGAATGGCTGCCGGTCAAACTTCAATACGTCGGAAATTTGCCATCTCCCTTCCTGATCGTCCGATTCGTCCGAAACTTACTCTCGTACGGTTCTTTCCCGTACGAGAAAAACGACTGCCTCATTACCTCTCCGGAAAAGTCAGTCCTTTTCAAATTGGCGGCGGTTAAAATGGCGCCTTAGAGCCGTAATTACGCATATTCAGGCTGCTTATCGTTACCTACATTTGTGTGAGACCCCGGTTCCGGCCGTATTTCGACAAACGAAGAAATAAGCTTTCGGTGGAGTGTTGAAATTTCGAAAAACTCTAAAAATGGGTCCGAAAAGTGACAGAAACGAAAGGTTCATTTCTTGCGACACAAAAAACACCTGACTATCGACTTGTAGGAAGCAAAAAGCTCCGACTTCCGACCTCGGAACATCGCCAAAGTGTCCAACTTCTATCTCAATTAGGAAAAAAGTTACAGTGGTGGTAGGTGAGATTCGGATAACCATGTATCTCGCCCACTATTGACGGATGAATCGAATTACTTAGAGATTGACATGTTCCCACGATAAGGTGTCGGGGCACTCGAGTCAGCATGTCTTGTTCTCTCTTGTACGGCGTAACTAGATTTCGCAGGAAGAAATAATAGCCCAACTCATCCGACTCCCCTTACCGCATGGAATAACTCGCCAATCCCTCCTTGAGGTGAATCCAGGCTTGGAAGTTCGCGATTTGGCCACATCGTCCCGCTTCTCAGAATAGCCGCCTATATTTGCCAAAATAATAAAAACCCTAATACTTATTTAAGATTGGAGGTCCACGGGATATGGCAACATACTTAAAGAAGACTCGGTAACAAAAATCTTCTCAAAATTCACAAAAATAAAGCATTCAATACGGCGGATAGTAATTCCCAATGCGGCAATGGGGGGAGAGAGAGACAGAACATGAGGGATGCCGTTGCGCGCTCGGCCGCCGCCTCTGAGCTGAAAGTTTCAGCCGTACTTTCTCTGCGCTTGTAATTCCAATTGCCAATTTTTTTGGCTCAAAAAATCAAGCAAAAATTAATCTATATCTTGTCGATTTGCTTTTTCTAGTTCGAGGAACATTATTTCAGTAATCGTCAAAGGGAAGTGAAATTCTCAATGGCGACTGGTGGCGCTATCTCTAATCTTGAATTATCCCTAATCGAACCCTGGATTTCACCTAAGGTGAATCGAGGGTTCGATTAGGGATAATTCAAGATAAGAGATAGCGCCACCAGTCACCATTGAGAATTTCACTTTTCTTCAACGATTACTGAAATAATATTGTTCAAATTACAAAAAGCAGATCCACAGGATATAGATTCTTTTGGGCTTCATTTTTGGAGCTAGAAATATTGGCAATTAGAATTACAAGCGCACAGAAAGTACGGCTGAAACTTTCAGCTCAGCCGCGGCGCCCGAGCGCACAACCGAATCCCTCATGTTCTGTCTCTCTCTCCCCCATTGCCGCAATGGGAATTACTTTCCGCCGTATTTAAGACTTTATTTTTCGGGAATTCTGAGAAGATTTTTGTTACCGAGTCTTCTTTAAGTATGTTGCCATATCCCGTCGACCTCCAATCTTGAATAAGTATTAGGGTTTATATTATTTCGGCAAATATAGGCGGCTATTCTGAGCAGCGCGACGTGGTGGCCAAATTGCGGAGTTCCAAGCCTGGATCCACCGTAACGCTTTCCCGGCTTCATTGAGAGACCCCAAAAAGCGACTCTCCACCCCGAGAGTAGGACACACAGCCCATATCGCTTACTCTGTCGCGACTTGTGATCGACGTCTCGATTCCCTCTGCCCGTACGCTTCTCCTCCCCTTCCGAAGATGCTGTCGACTAGCGTAGAGTTGTTATTCTACTAACCACGTGCCTTCGTTCCTTCATCTTTTCAGGTACGCTGTCCACCACCATCATGTCTCGAAATTCCTTGAATTTATATCCATCCATTATGCGGAGGAATTCCAAAACTGCACCACCGGATATCTAATGCATAAACGATGTTTCCCCGCCCCTCAGGCCCTGCGGGATGCCGGAATTACAGTAACCCCGGTAAGCATTCCCTTCATTCACAATCCTATGACATCGGACGACAATCGTTGACGACCCACGATCCGTGAAGTAAAAAGATCCGGAGTAATCGATTCAACCGGAGATACTCATCGTGTCAACTTCAGGACAGGCCAAAAAGGGGGGGGGGGGGCCTCGGCGACGAAGGATGCTTCGAATCGACTATCCGTTTGCATGAACGAACGAAGACACGACGTCCACTGAGTCCGGAGTTTTGACGTATCTTTTATATACAGGGTGATCCAAAAGTCCCTTCCACCCCCTCTAACTTTTTACCTAATTGAGATAAAAATTTGAAACTTGGGGGATATTCCTAGGTCAAAGAGACCTACTTTTTGGCACCCCTAAAATTTTCAGGGGGGCCCCCCTTGGGGGGCAACGGCCCCCAACTTTTAATTTTCAAATGGGAAGACCCCCTTTGTGATAGCTCGTTCGAAAGAGCTTAACAAAAGAAAACTTTTCGCGCAAACTCGAAGTCAATATCTTAAACCGTTTCAAAATGGCGGCCGGTTAAAGTTCAAAATGGCCGAAAATTCACACCGGTTATTTGTCGATGGATTTGCGCGAAAATCGGTATGTTGGGGTATTTTGACACGAGAAAAACGAATTTGACGTTAGATTTTAAAAAAAACCGAAATTTCCAAAATGGCCGCCGGTTAAAGTTTAAAATGGCCGAAAATTGTCACCTCGGTTTTTTACTGATGGATTTGCCTAAAACTTGGAATTTGAGAGTATTTTGGCATAAGATAAACAAATTTGAACCTAGAAATAAAAAAAATCAATTTTTGGTCATTTTGAACTTTAACCGGCCGCCATTTTGGAAATTTCGGTTTTTTTTAAAAAATCTAACGTCAAATTCGTTTTTCTCGTGTCAAAATACCCCTACATACCGATTTTCGCGCAAATCCATCGACAAATAACCGGTGTGAAATTTCGGCCATTTTGAACTTTAACCGGCCGCCATTTTGAAACGGTTTGAGATATTGACTTCGGGTTTGCGCGAAAAGTTTTCTTTTTTTATGCTCTTTCGAACGAGCTATCACAAAGGGGGTCTTCCCATTTGAAAATTCAAAGTTGGGGGCCGTTGCCCCCCCAAGGGGGGCCCCCCTGAAAATTTTAGGGGGGCCGAAAAGTAGCTCCCTTTGACCTAGGAATATCCCCCAAGTTTCAAATCTTTATCTCAATTAGGTAAAAAGTTAGAGGGGGTGGAAGGGACTTTTGGATCACCCTGTATCTGCAATCATCTTCAGTTTCGACTCCACGATGGTGTGAAGTTTCACAACGATCAATTGTCAAGATCCTGTCATGAAGTAGGGGAGAGCGGTGTTGGTTGGCTCACCGTGGGGAATTTTCAGAATATGTGTAGGGAAATTTCCCTTTTGCAGTCTCTGTGGGTTGGCAGCAGTGCCATGCATGTTTATCCGCCACTATCAATAACAACAACTGTGGTTCGTTTATTTTATGAACAAACGAAGATTTAACCTCGAATTTTGCAGCAAAACAGCGTCCTCTGGTAATTTAACTTTTCTTTGAATACATGAGTTATTTTACTGATTTATATTTCATGTTAATTTATCTGACTTCTAGACTCATCGACAAACACTTCGGTTTATTCATAATTTGGTTTTCTTAGGATTAAAATTTATTCCGGACCTTTGGAGAAATCAACCTTTCTCGGGCTTGAATGGCACATTATCACTGGGGTTGAGTGGCTCGCTCGATTCCTGGCGGTTAATGGATTTTCATATTATTTTTTTCCACCCCACCACCTGTTCGATATTTTATATAATGAAGGTATCACTAGTGCTTGCGCTTCATGTTTCCCAGTGAAGTTGAAATGAAACAGTCATGGTCCGTGTTTTTATCATATCCCCCGGGGTTGAATGGCTCACACGAAATTGATGAAATACGATGAAAAAATTATAAAATTAAATTTCTTATGTCCAAATTGCTCTCAAAACTATTTTTCAAAAAAGGTAAAAAAAGTCTGATTGAATCATGAAAAAAGACACGGACGTCATACCTAATATCGTGTGAGCCATTCAACCCTGGGGGTAAGCCATTCAACCCCAGGCCTGGATTGAATGCTTCAAAATCCAATTCTTATACAGCAGGTAATGTTTAAAAAAAATTATCGATTTAGAAACAAGTTTTTGTATGGAACCGATAGGTGAGAGTATAACCTTTAACTCTATGTAAAAAAAACTCGGGGAAAATTGCATTAATAGAGAATAGGAGAGGTTTATAAAAAAAAGTGAGGGAACCAACCCCCACTCTCCCCTGAGCGTCACTCCTTTAAAGCGAACATTCCGACTGAGTTAAGCAGAAAGCAACCAACCACACTTTGGAAAAAATTGAGTTATGAGTGGTTTTGAACCCAACCGTTGCTTTACTCTCTATCGCCAAAAATTCGAAGTTTTTGTCGGAGCAAATTTTGCAGAAATTGAACTTGAAGTTTAACTTTTACATTGAGTCTCATGCAGGAGCTAAACTTTAAGCCTCCTCTTCTCTGTTCAATACCGATGTGGCTTGGTTCCTTTCTGGTTAACTCCGTCGATTTGAAAGTGTTGGAGCCATTGCCTTAACGTACTCACCATGGTGCAGCCACTAGGGTACTCTTGAAGGAAAAACGCTACCGACTACACCACGGTCGCTTATCCCCCTATATTTTTGTCGCAGGATCCGAATCTGAACCTCGCTGCCTCGTGGCAATGATCCGCTCCCCGCAAAGTTGAAGAAACGTTGCCAAATTTACATTTTTTAAGATTTATCCTGATAACAATATTTATAATGCAAAAATGAAAAATTTGTTTCCACGACACGAGAGAGCATGAGATCCAGAAGGCATTCGTGTATACTCGTTCCCTTTTTATACCATCAAAACCGACGGAGTCTCACCACTCCCTCGGTGGCATCGAATCTGCGGCTCACTGTGGGCCAGATCGTCTCCGTAGCGGCGCGAAATTCAATTTTTCGACTTTTTCTTTTTCCTCATCAGAAGTATCTTAATCGATGCTTAGATACCTAGTGATAACGGAATTACATGGGATAATCTAAAATATTCATTATATCAGCGGTTTCCACGTACATAGATATGCAGCATGCGGAATGTGATGAACGCAGATTTCTACAACCTGAGGCCCGCGTTGCATACTCACTTATTTCACAGTGCACTCGTGAACCTCACACCATTATATGCATCTGACCGGTGAACTCCATTGCACGACGAGTATTTTTCCCTTTTGCAGATCCCAAAAATATCGATTTTTACCTGCAGGGCATGAGATCAAAGTTCCCCGAAAAATAACCCCTAAAAAAATGGATTTTTCAGAATATTGTAGATTGGGAAAGTGTCATTGCGGTTGGTTGCGCGGTTCTCTTTTGTATTTTTAGAAACCATATATCCTATAGATACCGTATACCAAAGCACAAACCCTACAAACCGGTACAACCATATCTTCCGGATGCTTCTTTGAGGTGACCGAAAAGTATCCGCGAAATTCGGAACTAGGGGTTTTAAGGAACCACGGTACACAGTCAAGCGGCCAAATGAAATATTTCAACACAAATTCATGTTTTAAGGGTTTTAAAGGTTTCCAATATCATTTCTCCCTCTTTCCATACTTTATGGAGGAAGGAAGCGGATGGGGAGGCGTACCCAAAACTGACAGTAAAAAATTCGTAATGGTCAACAATTTTCTTGAGCCCAGTAGGGAAATAATGATAATCTGTTTATATCCGTTCACATATTCAGCCTAAATATGACTGGTTTTAAACCAATTTGGCAATGAATAGGTATGAAAATTCTATCATCACATGGCACCCAAGTTCAGAGTAAGTTGACGGTCACTGACACCAATATAAGTCATCAACTTTCAATTTCACTGTTGAATTCCAATTTATGCAATCATGCCTGCTGGAGGGAGATATCTCAGAGGTGGAGGAGGAATCTCTATCGAATTCTGCTAATTCGATCGAACATTAATGTTGGGATGAAAATAACGCAATATTAAGAACCGAATCTTACACAACTCAGGATACCGTTACTTACCGAAGATAACACATTATTTATACAATGACAATACCTTTTAAAAACGGTGTAACACTACATTAGGCATAACTGTTTGTAAATAAGTCAATATTTAGTTATTACAGTGACTTCAATCATACCATATTGCAATACTCAGAATCGAACAGTGAAATCGAAATTTCATCAGTTATATTCGTGTCATCGACGGGCAACTTACTATAAACTTAAATGCCATGTTATGATTGATTTTTCATATTCATAACAACATATTTCTCATATTTGCATCTCAAATAAATTTATCAGCATAATCTTCAAAAAATTAATAATTTGGCAGCCGCTTTTCAACTTTGCCGTAACCCCCTCCTGATAGCTCCGAGGCAGAAAAGTACGTACAAAATTGGATTCTTCGACCCAAAATAGGGTGATAAGCACCGGTCGTGTAGGTCGTCACGTTTTTCTACCGATAGTTATACTTTCAAGCCTCTATCGCTTCGACTTCCACGTGTACGTAAGCAGGGACCACCCACCGTTATAAGTAACTGTGTCACTGTTGTAAGATCGCTTCTTCATGCCGACCTTCTCTGTCTTGCAGATCCTCCAGACGCCCGGTGACATCATAGTGACCTTCCCCCATGGGATACATGGGGGATTCAATTCCGGACTGAATCGAAATGCGGCGCGGAACGTGGCCGCTCCCTGGTGGCTGGAGTTCGCCCGTTCCGCGCTACGCCACGAATGCGGCGCAGAAACGTAAGTCCTCGTGTGCAGCTTTAACAGAGTCACACGCCATTCATTCATTCTTAGCACATGCCATCTTATCAACGCAGCTACTCCCCAAATTTTTTGGAAGGCGACGGACAACCACTCGGGAAAGAGGCGACAAAAACAGTAACCGAGGATCATCCCGTCATTTGAATGGTCTCCTACTTTTACGAGACGAACGGCGCGGCGCGTATCCGATAACTCCATTCCCTTCACGGGAATCGATACCGCCTCTTCCCAGAGAGTCTGTCCGCCGGCCCTGGTAAAAAAGAATACTTTCAAGAGATATCGAATATTTCCAGGTTCGAGACGGAAAGATGAACTGCCTCCTTCATCCCTCGCCATCTTCTCGCAGGAATCAAATCCAATTATGTTTCCGTGTATGTATAAGTGACCCGGGGAACCAAAGTACCTTCAAAGGTAACCTGGTTGAGTCCGAGACTAACCCAAGGGGACTCTCGGCTGAATTAATTCCCCGTTTCCTCGTTCTATCTCTGGGGCGTTCCTATACTTAAAAAATCTTGACCTTATACGATATCAAACATTTTGAGTTCGGAAATGGAAATCAGGGATTATTGAGATGCTTCTCTGTTCTCCGTTTTTAATTTTCAATATATCACTATCGCCCCCCTCTCACTTCTAAAAGTATTTTTACATATTTACGTACCATTATTGTGATAACATCGCAGAGGTTTGGCGGAATTTTTCCCCTTTTCGATGGTTTTTTTCTCGCTATACACGAGATTACCATACGGAGGCTGTCGATTCCCAATTACCTATACCCGTCATGGAGTTGCCTCCATTCGAACGAATCGATGTGAAACGAGAAACTGGCTACATCCTCATTTGTTCAAAGCCGTCCTTTCATTTCGTTCCTCCAATTGCCACTATATCCCACAATGATTTACTCTTTATTTCTTATCATTTTCAGCCTCGGGTTTTCCCTCGACGGCCAGCAACTGAACGCCCTGAAGGAGAAGGCACGGAGGCAGGTCGCCACCAGGCGGAGCCGGCCGCCTGAGATGGTCGTCCGGCACACGGAAGCCGCCAGTTCCTCGGCCGCGACAAGTGTCACGCGGCGCATCTGTGCGGTGTGCGGCGAGCCGATTCACCGGTGCTATTCGCCGCCACGCATCCTCGGACTACATCTGCTCGAGATGTTATAACAGCTCCCGGCCACCGGTAAGACCCACTTAAGGATCCATCCATCAATTTAATAATAATATCGAGTTTTACTTCACGTATTAAACTCAAACCGTAGTCGACAGAATCACCATATCCACAACAGTAAATCCGTCTGAAGTAAAGCATCTTTTCCTGAAACCGGGCCCAAACGATACCTCAGGATACCCTAAAACTATCGTAAAAATTTTACCTACAGTAGGTATACCTGTACGTACGGTTTTTGAGAAATGACGGGGCAAAGTTGCCAAATCGGTAACATCCTTGACAGCATTTCTACAGGGAAAAGATGAGGAAAACTGACGAAACAGCTACACCTTCGATGATGGGTTTCGGCTTTAAATCTTCTCATTGGGCCCCCAACCACTAAGCTGTGTTCAGTTTCATCATTTTGGTCCCCCGGTAGTACAAAATGGGGAGAAATCGTAGGCCAATCAGGATTCTTTGTCTAATTTTTACAAATGGAGGTACCTAAAAATGCCGGGCTGCTGCAGTTTTCATCGCTAACAATGTTCTTTTCCGTCCTCAATCCATGAAATGGTGTTCAGCTTCACGAATGTATCATCGCACAGCTGTCAAAAATGGCGGAATAAGTGGACGAATGAAGATCGAATGTGAAAATTTGAAAAAATGAAGTGGAACTCTTCGACCCCACTTAGACTTTAGATCCCGGAAAAATTCACGATTTATATTTTTTTACTAATTATTACTACATGTCCGACCGTATTGCTTGTAGAACTTGCTTACTAGCTTGCTTGTAGAATCTATACTTTGTAGCATTTTATCAATAAAATATGCAAAATTTCAGAAATTTAAGAAAATAAGGAAACATGGCGAGAAAAAATTAATAAAAGAAAGAAGTTTTTCCGTATCTAAACTCTACTGGCGACCAATAGTCATTTCCACGTGATCTTTAAAAATTTTCACATTTGCTTAATTCGTCCACTTCTTCCCCCATTCTCGGCGGCTGTGGGAATATACATTTGTGAAGGTGAACACAATTTCACCCATTGAGGACGGATAAGAAGATTGTACGCCATGAAAACTGCAGGAGACGGGCAATTTTAGGTAAGTACTTCCATTTCTAAAAACGTTACGATTCATCCTGATTTGTCGACGATTTCTCCCCATTCCCGACAACTGTGCGACCAAAATTTTTGAAACTGAAAACAGCTTAATGCTTGGGGGCCTTATGAGAACATTTACAGCCGAAACCCATCGAAGGTGTAACTTTTTCGTTCATTTTTCCCGTCTTTTCCCTGTAAAAATGCTGTCCAGGATGTTAACGACTTGGCAGCTTCGCCCCCTCATTTCTAAAAAACCGTCCGTGTACTGAAGCTAAAAATTCCACTAGAGTTTCAGGTTATCACAACGTATCGTTTCGGCCCGGTTCCATGAAAATCCCCGGTGGCCCCAATTGGTGCCAAAATAACTGTCGTTTTCGGCGTCCCTCTTTCCCCACATACATCCGTGACATTCAGCATTCGAGACGTCGCATGATATTCTCACGATTCAACTTGGTCGATGACTGGATTACGTAGCACCGTGTCAACGAACATGGTGTCAACAAACGGTTTTTCTACGGTTCTGTTGACACCGTCATCATCCAAAAATAAAAAAATTCTCACTCTTGCGAAAAACGATAACCGTGTCAACTATCACGACGTCACTGAAACTTAAAACTTGTCTCAATAACATCTTTGACATTTCGAGTCTTGTTTTCCTCGTGTTATTTACTCTAACCTAACCTAACCCAACCTAACGTAACCTCATCTAACCTAACCCAACCTGAACTAATCTAACCGAACCCAACTTTACCTAACAGTACCCAACTTCACCTTATTCTAGGCCAAGGTACCCCACTTTCACGGAACTTAACTTTCCCCCACCTTACCGTACATAACTTAACCTTATTGACTAAATCTAACCGAAGGTACATGATGTCCTGACATAAAGTAACCTAATACAACTATACGCGACCCAGACCTATCCTCCACATTTAATTTTTTAATTTTACTCCTACGTCGGGAATATATTTTTCTGTTTGTTGACACCGTGATCGTTGTCACCATGCTCAGGGCCTATTTTTGCGTTTTACTGACTGACCACGACGTCAACGATTGTTGACTCCGTCATCACATTGTCGGTTTGTCGACACCCTGATCGTTGCCACTGTGCAACCTTACCAGAGTTAAGAAATTTAATGAAAGCTTACGAAAAGAAATTTAATTTAACACGCAGAATTCAGGATTAAACCCTTGAAACTTATGAATCTCATTAAGTTCATTTATATCCACGTGGTAAACTGCGGAAGGGAACTTTAGAAATGGCCAGACAGTTGAGTAAAACAGGAATAACATAATTTTGAATTTTTTTTCTTACATTTTGGTTGAACACACAGCCGTACCGGTTGAACACCAAAGAGTAAGAGAAGAGCAGAAGAGAAGAGCCGAGTGACAGAAGACCCCTCTCCAATTCGTCTAATTGACGAATATTATTCTCTTTAAAAATAAAAATAAATTCTGTTACAAAAAATAAGCATTTTTGACATTTTGTCCGTCGAAAGAAATTTCATTCGATGAAATTTCTTTTAGGAACTCTGCCAATGACTGCTTCCATCACCGCCTCCTGCCATTGTGTCGAGGCGTGGAGACTAAAATTTCCTCTTTACACTTGCAGAAACCGAGATGCGTGACATGCCGGAAATTAATGTACCAGGAGAAGCGGCAAGTCCCCATAGAGGATCGTCCACCGGGCTCCCCGGCCGTACAATACGAGCACGTCGTCTGCTTCCGGCGGAGAAAGCTGAGGGTAAGCCGATTTTGAACTGGAAATCATTAATCTCCTTTGTACATGATGATGATTAGGATGATGATCCTTCAAATCATAACAACCATGATAAGTAATCATCATGGTAAAAATTCTCTTCGGTGCTTAAGGGGCAAAATTTTGGGAGAATTGTTATTTTAATTTTTAATTTAAGGAGTCGTTCGTTACTCGATCTTTTCCAAAAGCAACTTTCAAACTTAAACGTACCTCAAAACTGTGTAAAATCGTGTTTTTGAAACGTGCATTTTGAACATTTCCCTTACGCCTAACATCCACCTTCTGATCTCGATGGGAGGTGGGTTCGGGGGACACCCCCCCTCCCCACAAAAGGGCCTTCTTTTAAGGGCGCCACCCCAAGTTTAGCCTAGGGCGCTAAAAATGTAAATCTGACCTTTATAGCACCCACCGTCTACGTGAGTGTACCAATGTGTTTTTACACTACGGACTACCGATGTGACGGCATATAGAAATAAAAGCGCAAAACGTCCCGAGCACCACATTTCCGGTTCGGCTCAGCCAATCAGCGTCCGTTTAGGAATGATGAGCCCCCATGCGCAACAAGTATTATCCTCTCGAATTCCAACGAGAGAAATACATTCATCGATGATCAATGTGCCATAGAGAAGAAAAGGAGGTGTTTGCACCTTGACGTTCGTTTACCCTGGTACGTACGTCGTCACAACTTGTCCAGCGAAATCCGGAATTCGAAATATTAAAAACGGACCATCATGATTGATCCTTTTATTTAAATCTACTCGTTAGAGAATTTCAAGCAATTTTTATGGAATGAATTTTTTCCTTAAATTACACCATTTAGTAGAAAATCGTAAGGATAAACGTCGCTGTTTCGACCTACGTCATCGAATCATCCATAAATTTCCAAGATGCCCGAAATGCAACCACCACCTTCTATTTCTCTATGCGTCATATCCTACTATCTTGTTTGGTACTCGATCGGTAACGCCATTTTGACACTATATCCACATTATCAAAGTCATGCATCGCAAATATGTGGATAACCTCAATTATCATCCTAATCATCTTGCAGTAAATTTGTTTGACACCTCCACGAACACTTACCGCCTCGCTAGGAGGAATGTGATGGATCTCCAATCTCCCACGTAAACAATCACCTTTTCGAAACATCTGAACTTTCGCGCTCTCCCCTCTGCCCCCTCTACACAGTTAATTCTCTCATTAAACAATTGGTAATAGCCCAAATCACTCACTGAGGCTGATTCCTTCTTGCTTCTATAAACAAGATAAAAAACAAAGAAATATTTTGTTTAAGTTTTATTGTTCATGAATTCCTAAAATGAGCGTCTCGGTTTAAAAATGTTTTCAGTTTTTTCATTTCCGACCACTCCTGTGTCATTTAAGGTAAGAACCCTTCAACGACGACACGTTAACGAGATTCTTTTGTTTTCATATCCTAACCCCTTTTCGTTCGTCTACCAACTCGCTTTTAAAACTTTACGACATCACTATTCTCCTTCCTTTCCTCTTTTTCCAATCAACACCAACACCGACCAGCGGGCCGATTCTTGAAATTTAAACCAGCCCGATAACACATCGAATTGCCATATATTGCGTGGTTAAGATGTGTTAAGATAGGGCGATGTCTTGTCGTGTCGGGCTGACATAGTTTCAATAATCGGGCCCCAGATAGTAAGCTTGTCTGCGTTTATAATGGAGTCTTGTCACTTTAGAGTTACCTTTGTTAAGCAATGTCAAAAGCTTCAAGCTTATTTAGAAGCCTATCATTTTCCTCACATCTCTATTTCGATCGTGCGATAACCGCGAATCATGAATTACATTTTTCGGCCTGCATTGTAGCACCGCCGGGAAATCCGACTGGAACGAAGAAACTAAAGTTAGTTGTCAATGCGCAGGAAAAAATCAGCAAGATGATAAACCCACCCATACAAAGCAACTTGTAGTCTCCAAAAACATGATTGTCAAAACGATCCTCGATCTGGGACACCTCAAAAATACCGCCGTCGTGCACACTACCTGGCCATCTGGCCACAACATCCAATATTCTCATATGGGAATCAAGTTGGGCTAGTCCCCATTTTATATGTACTCGAGTACGGAGCTTTTTCTTTCAAACTCCCAAAATAGTCGATGAGAAGCCGACCGCTTCCGTTCCCTCCTCAAGTGAAAATGTCGGAAAATTCTTTGTTTACCTATCAGACAACACTTCAGAGATCATCTCATGCAATTTTGAGCATGATTGCAGGCTTTTAAGTTGGGCTAGTCCCCATTTGATATGTGCTCGAGTAATACGGAGCTTTTTCTTTCAAACTCGCCGAACGGTCGATGTGAAGCCGTCCGCTGCCATTAGCTGCTCAAGTGAAAATGTCGGAAAATTCTTTGTTTACCTATCAGACAACACTTCAGAGATCATCTCATGCAATTTTGAACATGATTGCAGGCTTTTAAGTTGGGCAAGTCCCCATTTTATATGTACTCGAGTACAGAGCTCTTTCTATTTAACTCGCAGAACGGTCGATATGAAGCCGACCGCTTCCGTTCCCTCCTCAAGTGAAAATGTCGGAAAATTCTTTGTTCACCTATCAGACCACACTTCAGAGATTATCTCATGCAATTTTGAACATGATTGCAGGCTTTTAAGTTGGGCTAGTCCCCATTTTATATGTACTCGAGTACGGAGCTTTTTCTTTCAAACTCCCAAAATAGTCGATGAGAAGCCGACCGCTTCCGTTAATTCCCTCCTCAAGTGAAAATGTCGGAAAATTCTTTGTTTACCTATCAGACAACACTTCAGAGATCATCTCATGCAGTTTTGAAGATGATTGCAGGTTTTTAAGTTGGGCTAGTCCCCATTTTTTATGTACTCGAGTACGGAGATTATTCTTTTAAACTCGCCGATTTTAACCACCGATTATAAACCACCTATTGGACTTGGATTTTGCATAAGTTTACTCGTTTTGGGGAAAGAACGCTCATTTATGTACATTCTGAGTCATCTTGGTTAGAAATGGAATCTGCAGACTGGCAGTGAAATTTCTTTCATTACAAGTTGGTAAGAAGTGTGGCTGCACTTTTGGGCACAAAGCCGCCCTCCATGAAGCGGTCTGTTATAGAGTACTTGTATAGGGAGAGTAGCGACAGATAGGTTCATGGAGGGCTTAGGGCCCAAAAGTGGAGCCACCCTTCTGAGCAACTATCTAAGCGAAAAAAGCTTAATGTAAAAAAAAAAAAACCTTCTTAAAAATCTACTGTGCCTTGGTAGGTTTTTAATGCTTTAAACACTTGAAAAAAGAACGTGATAGGTAAAATAACTAATAAGAAAATAATGGTTTTGTCAAAACTTTTTTTAAATAAAATCCATCCAGATGCACATAAAACTAAAAACAAATTCCTAAAAAAAAAAATAAAAAAAAAAAAAATATCTCCAAAAACATAATTTTTCACAGTTTTTTTCCCAGAATTTTTAAGTTTTCTTTTAAACGGTCGTTGTTACCGGGTTGATGTGGAATGAAAAGGATTCAGAGTTGAAATCTTGGATGAGCGACATTTTTGGAGGAACAACACCAATTTCCGAATACACTTGAAGGCGAGTCATGTTTGTATCCTCTGTCTAGAGCTGTTTCCGTTTCTTCTCGTCTGCGATCTGGATCAAATTCTTGGTAAACCTATCACCAACGTTGGAGATCTTGATCTCTTCGACGCAGTTCCCGGCGTGGTCAGTTTTACAGCTTTTGTTGATCGGCGGCAACTCAATCAACACGAGAGGGTTGGTGAAAGACGACGCGCATGCGGGGGCTTTCGTCTCCTGGTCGATCATCAGTTTGTTTTTCCCGAGACACGGACCTCTGGATCCGAGCTTGTAGCACACTCCATCGTCCTCCCAGAACACGTATTGGGCCCCCTCTTTTTGAAAATCTCTACAAGGGTCCTCCTCGCAAGACACTTGCGCCCCTTTTTTCACCACGACGTATCCTTGTCGACACGGCCCTCGCGTGTACACCTCGAAACACTGGAAAGATCGACGCTCCCTGGATCTGAACCAACGGACGTAGGGCTTGTCCGGTTTACAGTCGCACACGCCCTCCCCGAAAGGATCGACGTGTAGGAGGGTGTTCCGTTCCGGACAGAGAGACGATTCTCCTTCCGTCACGTTGTAGCAGAATCCGTCTTGCGGCCAGAAGATGTCGTTGTTGTTGCATTGTTTTTCGGCGCAAACTGCGGTCAATTGAGGCTCCTCGAGGATCGCCGACTCCAAGTCTAGCACCAGCCACTCGCCCTTGTTGCAAGGCCCACGTTCCAGCAGCGAGTAGCAACTGTCTCCGTACGAGACTTGCTCCTTTGCGAAGCACTGAAGCTCCAACGCGGTGAATCTTGTGTGTTTGGCGTCGCTCTTAGGGACTTGGCTACCGTCCCTTCCAGCTGTCCTGCCATTTAAACTGACGGTACTTGAACTGAAACTGTGAGCATTCACCATGAATAATAGTAGCGCTCTTAATGTCAAATTTATCATTTCCCCCATATTGGAGCCTTGCACCATACTTTTTTTTCAAGTCACACTATAGAAGGACGTCTTTTCTTTACTGACATCACTTTTATACATTCTGTTACGATTCAGAATCAGAAATTCTCACCAACTGATTCTAAAACGAACCTGTTTACTGTATCTCTCCTTGTTTACGATTTCATGTTGAACAGGAAGTTTTATTCAAATGATTCTATTTGCCGCAGAGAAAAGCCCGTTCTTGAGTACACCAAAAAAATGTAAGTGTGTTGATGTTCCTTTTCTAATTCATGACTGATCTGCGAGTTGATAATTTTTCCTTTCAATTTTGAAAATTACGCAGCAAGCTGGACGAACTCCGAAAATTCACCTTCAAATATTCGAAAAAATTAAGAACCAATTTAACCCATCGCCAATGGCATCGTCTGCTCAGCTATTCTGCAACAAAAGAATTAATTGAAAGATAAATACAAATACAATCAATCGCATACAATAATAGCGACGAGACAAAACAAGATTTGTCCCAATGTCTCCACTTTAAATAATAAAACGCCCTAGTTGCGTCAACAACAATAAACAGTTAATGAGTAATCTTTAGTTCAGCTCTGTACCAACAGAGCCCTCGTAGGCGCACGATTAGTTGCATAGCCCGCAAAAACAAGGCGCTGATGACGAAGTTCGGTGATACATGTTTTTGGAGCTAAGCGGAAGACACGCGTTAACATTTTTCGTCGTTTTTAGACAACTTCCCGACGTTTTCGGTCATATTCTCTCACGCCCAGAGAAAATGTATCCCCTAGTACACATCTATGTAGCTAACTCAAAATCAACAAACATGGAGATTTAGGTACGTGTTCTATAGATATGCGGCTTCCATTCACGCATACTGTAAAGATCCTTCTTGATACTTTGTTACACCTTCATTGAAAGATCTTGATCAACAAAGCCCTATCTTATGATGTTATATTTGTCATTCAAAGTCAAAGGTCATTTGATAGGCTGAAGATCGAATTTCAATACTCGATCGGTCTGTTGCAATCTGTAGTATCTGAATGACCGACGAACCCTTTCGACGATAAACTTACTAAAACAAGGATCTAGATTGCGGCGTTTTGTCCTCCTCTGCTTTATTTTCTTTAAATAGTATTTAATAGTTTCTAATTATGCATTTTCGCACAACATTTTCAGCGAATACTCTTGAGTGGATGGAAGACAACTACACAAGGTTTTGTTTGATATCCATGATCAGGTATTTGTCCTTTATTAAGGATCCTTCAAGAATAATAAGTGAAAAGGAGTTTGAAGCGTCACAAATTGAAATAAAGGGATTAATTTGTAGTTTCAGCATATAGCGGCAGGAACACAGTTTAGATAGTAGATTTTTCTCCTTCCAAAATTCTCAATGCATTTTGCCGTGCCATGAAGAAACACCTAACGAACATTCCAACGTTGCAAGATTTCCTCCGATAAAATATTTTTTTCTGAGAAACGCTATGGATGCTTTTTATTGAAATGTTTACATAATTATACTAGATCGAACTGTGGATAAAATTCAAAGAAAATTACGCAACACTGTGCGGGAAAAATGAGAGAAAAACTAAGCGTTGCTCATCGAGAAAATTCCATCTTAATTATTTTGGTATCGTCTCGGTGTTCATAAAGCGTTCTTCCTTACCACGTAATGTATACCGATGTGAAATTGAAGAAACATATATTTTGCTTGATCTGACAGTAAGCGAACTTCCTATCACATACATGTCCACGCAGGCGCGGGTATATATACAGTAGCGCCTCGAATATCCGCGATTTGGACTATCCGCGTTTTTTGGACCTCATATTGCAATTCGGAACTATAATTTCTGGCTCATAATGTGTAAAAAACACCTTGCTGTCATGCTAGGGAAAAACGCCATATGGGTCTTCAGATGTTGCCATATTTCCCTCTATTAAAGTCAAAACCGGGAAATCGTGAACATTTTTTCGCAAAATTTTCAGACAATTTTGTTCGCGATTTAATCTAACATCTCTGAAAATTTCAAGGAAAACTATGCAAAACTTTCCTCACGAATACGTATTTTATTCGAGGAAATTTGGCAACTCGAAGGTTCATACTGCGTTCTTCCTTAGCACCGCAGTATAAGCATAGGGAAACTGATGATACATTCGTTGTTTCTAAACTGAGCCAGAAATTATAGTTCCCAATTGCAAAATGTGGTCCAATTAAAGGCTCGTTATAAAATACATATTAACTTGCAAATTTCTCACCTCGTCGAAGTCGACTTCAGGAAAGGGCGCCGTCTAATTGTTGATCTGCTCTCCGAGGATCGAATGTAAAGTGCTGTAGTAAACCCGAGAATTTTCGTCACAAAAAAAAAGCTCGTTTCGGAAAGGCAACCGTGCCGCAAAGTTCACAGCTTCGATGCCCAAATAGCTCGTTGTTTTCACTGGTCTTATACGAGTGCTTCCTCGCTGATGAGGCGCCAAGGAGAGGCGCGCGGGGTGGGGCACAAACCAGTCAATCATAATTCATCCTGTCGTTTATTTATCTCACTCGGTCGCGCCCTCGAATGCGATTTCTCTCTCTCTCTCTCTCTCCCCCGCTGGACCCCCTCCTCCTTTATTAAAAAAAAGAGTTGCCTATCTTCTATATCTCGCGAGAGTATGCAAATTCATGTCCGATCCTCTCGCTGAAATTAGTGCCCGCGCGAAAGAGATGTACATGCACCCACCAGCATGTACACGATAACGAGCGTCTTAAATTCGCGGCTATATAATGAATTAGCCAATGCTTGAGGGTAACCACTCTGGCCACTACGCGGCCCAACCCTCGCGAGGCGCTTCGTGCCTTTAGGCACGATGGGTTCTCTAGTTTATATCCTGTAGCGATTTAAGGTGATTTGTCAAGCTCAACGGCTGTGGTCGAACATGCATGCGATAGATAGCATCGATGAGGTCCAAAATCTCTGTAGATTCTGAATTTTAGCCACATAACGGACGATAGCCACTGCGCAAAACAGAATCATACTGTCTACATACTGTCATTCTGTTGTCTACAGAATCATACTAAACCCAAAAATTGGCAAAGAAAAATGAAAGCAGAATAGTGTTAGGAAAAAAACCTCGCATTCGATACAGAAATCGATAGCTGTATCAATGAGGTGCGAGGTTGTAGGCGAGCCCTGGTAAAAATTGGCGATAGGTAAGAGTTGCGTTTCAAAATACCCTAGGAATTCTTATAGCCGGCTAAAGTAGGCTACAGAAAATCATATAGCTGGCTGCAGAATGCGGAGAAAATCAAACGGCCGGGCTATACGAAGTGATAAAAAATTATGCAGCCGGGCTATAGTTCCTATCGCCGGGCCTTACACTTTATCGCCTGGCTGTTGATTTTTCGCCATCAATTATAAAAGGCTATAAGAAATTGTGTAGAAATTCGTGTACTTTGGAAATCATTAAGTTTGATACGGAACCACCTTAATATTTATAAAACACATATTATATTTTCCTTTAATACATATTTTTTTTCATCAATTAAAATGAGAATAATCCATACAGGATGTGCAAACATTTCAAAATCATAAGTTGAATAACGCTGACTCCGCTAGATTAAATATTAGAGCATAACACAAAGCGGAGCGGCGACGCACTGGCGCCTACAAACCTAACGGGAATACTTCACGCATTGCGCAACGCGTGAAGTATCCTTGTTAGGTTTGCAGGCGCCAATGCGCGTTTCGTGCTGGCTGCCCGCCTGCCGCGCCGCAGCGTGCCACGGCGCTTGAAGCAACTATTTCACACCAGAGGTATTGCACAGTATCATACGAAACTGAAGGCGCTCTAATATATTAGTAATGGCAGGCACCCATCAAAAGTACGGAGCTTTCCTCGCAAAATAAATCAAGATACTACGGCCCAAAAAGAGAGCAGTATTCCAAAAACTCACCAAGTCCTAGCATCCGTAACTAGTAACGTTTAGCATACACTGTATCGCCTGGCTGTTGCTTAATCGCCATCGGCTATAAAAAGCTATAAGAAATTGTGTAGCCGGTTATAGAAGCTATTGGAAATCTTACAGCCGGCTGTAGGTCTATGGTGTTTTGGAACACAGATTCCACTGCCAATTTTTACCAGGGAGGTTTTTTTACTGACACTATTCTGCTTTCATTTCTCTGAATTGTGCCACTTTTTGGGCTTAGAATGATTCTTGAGGCTCATGCGCAAGGGCTATCGTCCTTTCTGTGGCTAAAAATTCAAAATCTGCAGAGATTTTTGACCTAATAGACGCGATATATCGCTTGTCAGTTCGACCATGCCACTTGAGTTTGACGAATCACCTTAAGTACGAATGATATAATCCAAACCGCAGTATCGTAGGCATATAATATTTTTAAAATGGAGCTGCAATCCTCTGCAAGCAGTTTCTGTGGGAATAGCTTACAGCTGCTCAATGTAAGATGTGTGTTAATCGAATAGGTAACCATCCGCGTTCCCTGCTAAGTTTGTTGCCTATGTGGCGAGATTGAAGGGGGAAATCAAGTTGTCAATACCTACCAATACGTTTACCTACACTTTACCTATTGTCGTCGAAATTAATGGAGCGATGTTTTGAGTGTTTTCCTAATAGATAACTATTCGCGCTCCCTGGTATGTTAATTTGCCTAACGGAAAATTTTAAGGCGCGCATTAAGTTGACGATGTCTGCCGATAGGTTTAAGATTTCAAGCACACATTATCTCCGTTGGCTATATCGAAGTTCAAGGAGCGAGATATCGAACGAGCGAAAGTGCGAAACACTTATCTCTGTCTGCGACGTTGCAGACTGCGCCAGTCCTATTTTTTTTTATTTCTTTTTTCATTGCCTTTGTTTCGTTATTTGAACTCTCCCATTGAGAAGATTCAGGGCCCGATTGAGGAATCTGCATGGCGCCCCAGGCTAATGATTTCTTTGCGCCCCCCCCCCCGCTTCTTTTCTTTTGGTCTCCGGGTCCAGAGAAGGGGCGTGGGGCACATAGACTTACCTATTAATTCCACACATTTTTTCCGCTCCTGATGATAAGAATTTTCTTTTTTTCTTCCTACATAGTCTCGATAAAATCCAAAATTTGGCGCCCCTTAAGAGTTCGCGCTCCAGGCTTCAGCCTGGCCCGCCTGAGCGGTAATCGGGCCCTGAGCCATAGAATTAGAAAACAGACTACCATTGCAGATTGATCCGTGGCGCGCAACGATGCAGTGCTCTAAGCGGTCAAAACGGTCAAAGCTGGTAGCGGCGCGGCGGCAGCGAATGGCAGAGGCACTTTCTTCTGCGTCATCAAAATGGCCGCTGAAAAAGCGACCTACTCCCCTGCCCCTGCCTCTTCCTCTTCGCTGGGAGTGCGAAAAAAAACGTCAACATCAAACATCAACACATCAACATTGCTCGCCATCTTCCAGCCACTTGTCATATGAAAGCTCGAAAGCCCGTGTTTCGGTGAGACGTTTTACCCTTGCGCATGTCAACTCTCCGCTGAGCTTGCGGCAGATTTGAATTATTACCGGTGAAAGTTCAGTGCTCAGTGACCAACAGTGATTTAGTATAAAACAGCGCGTAAGTGCTGTTTTTCCTTTTGGATAATTTCCCTTCGACTCCCAATATTCGTCTCCTACCAGCATTGAAGTAGCCGAAGGTAAAAATGTTATCCCTTTATATAATAGCTTAAGTTCCTTATAAAAACTCGTACCTCACACTTCTCATGAGACTCATATTCGTTGACAAATGTTTATTCACTGTCAAGTGAGGGATAAAGACTTGACGTTTTAGCCGATGCGTTCAGCCCAATTCATCTAGTTTAACTTTTTATTCAGATTTTTTTCCAACTTGGTAGGTTGAAAATTTTTACCATCATGTATTTAAGTACGAAAAGTTTTCATTCAATTGAGTATAAGGAAAAGTTTGATGAAAAGTTGAACAGTGTGAATTGGGCTTCTATGAGCTTGCACATCTTATGTTGAGACAAACGTCAATCTCTCATTAGCTCTGAAGCAGCACTACTCAACAGGTTAATACATACAGTCAGACGGCACCACTGATGAGTGGTGACATCAACAATACTTTGACGTTTGTCTCAGCATATGATGCGCGAGCTCTAGCCGACAGTATCAGTCCAACGCAATCTGTACTTAGGTTTCTGTAAATATACAGTTACTTTAATTGAATCGCATTGTTCGCTCAAATGCCTTGACGTATTCTGAAAGTTTTGGTAATCCATTCTTCAGCAGCCCTTGTATGAGGTGGCATTCAAGTCCTTAACCAGTACCGATCGCACATCGACGGTGTAAGTCGGCAATCACACAACTTGTGTGTGGTGTCTGAAAACCTCTGCCTCAATGTTCTTTCATTAGTGGAAAACAAATTTACATCTTCCTTCAAGTTTATGCAGAATTTTCTTCGCACAGAGAAGAAAAATCACGGCAGTATCCAAGTATTGCTGTTGAGTAGTTTTCCGTTTAAAAAATAAAGTATCACAGGAAGTCTGCAACGCCGCAAACCGAGTCATGAGATTGCCGACTTACACCGCCAACATATTTAAGACGACAGAAATTTGCAGTTTTATTGTCATCCTAGTTGCTTCACATTAAATTTACTCGCAGTGAAACGTTGCCAATGATGGACAATTCATTTATTATAGATGGATTGGTCCCTCAAGCGATAGGCCTTCCTCTGCAATTTATTTTGGAATCTAGGTTGAGAAATTCGCATCATCTTTAGGGACTTAAGTAATAATAGATTTTCAAATACTCCAGACAAATGAAGGAGGAAGCTTTCCGACTTTTTAAATTCTAAGCTATCCATTTTCACATTTCACATTGCGGAAGTTTAGTCCTGGTTTACAAACTTCCTTCGACAAGCTTCAGTTTTAGCTGCTGCCCTTGAACATCGAATGACGAAGTATTAATTTTATCCTCAAGAACGATAAATCTCCTATGTAAACTGAGAAAACTTCCTAGTTTAAAAGCGCTAAATAATATTGAGAGATTACATGAAACTTGGTAGAGTGAAAAGCACAACAATTTTGAAAATGTACTCATTTGTTGTCAGCAGTTGCAAAAGATCTCTTTGCATTCTGCTTGGAAGCAGCCTGCCATACACTTTAGTAGAAAATTGATGGCCAAAGTGCATTTGCTGAAAAAATAGATGAAGAAAGGAAAAAAAAAAAACTTAGGTATTCTGCCTTGCTAAGGAAAAACGCCGTATGAACCTTCAGGCGTTGCCGAATTTCCTTTAAGAAAACACGAATTTCCTTGTAAACGTGAGGATATTTTCCTTCCAACTTTTCAGATAATTTTGTTCACTATTTTACCGAAAGTTTCTGAAAATTTAAAGGAAAATAATTCATTGCGTTCCTCAAAAATAAACATTTTACCGGAGGAAATTTGGCAACTCGCGAATGTTCGTTCTTCCTTAGCACGGCAGTATTTACCCGTAGCAAAAACCTATAATTAAGGGGCTTGGAGGACAAGGCGCGTACTTAAGTGCAGTTTTTGCTACTTCGAAAAATACGTGTTTGAAATTATTTGGATCCTCATGGCGCGGTGGGTAGAAAGTTCAAACTAACTTTTTGATACTTAAAAATCGGAATTTGGGAGCGAAATTTTCACAAAATATGCATTAAGACTAGTTTTACTTGAAGTGGTTAATATCTCAATCTTTTCAAGAACTCCACCTGCGCCTTGTCCTCAAAGCCCCTTGATTGTAACGAATTTACCGTACTTGTCTTCTCTAGACCCAGTGACGTATGATACTTAGGGAGCGAGTTGATGGGACGAAAGCAATTTATTTTTTTTTAAATTTTTTATCAGAGGTGCGCGTGTGTAATTTTTGTTTTGAATATTCAAATAGCACCGCTGAATATTCAAGTGAATAGAGTGCAATTGAATGAACAGGTCATTAGAATGTCAGGCAGGATAGAAAGGAAAATGTGGAATCACGCGCGTCGTTTTGGCTGACTTTCTGACGCCCCCCCCCCCCCCCCCCCCCCNGCCTTGTAAGTCATCCGCAAGTCAGCATTTTAATCCAACCCCGCTTCCTCTTGAGTTACGGAAGCAGAAGCCTGGCTTGACCCCCTCCTAAAATTTTTCCTAAAAATAACACAAGAAATCTTAAAAGTAGCTTAAAAATTATTTTCATTGGGAAATAATATTATTTTTCTCTTTTCCCCTCGTAAGACCGCGTATGAGCCAAGCTCAGACCGTTTTCCCCTCTAAATGACTCACGTAATACTTGAACGACCCCAAAATTGCGTATCAAAGCCGTGGGGCATCCAGTTCAGCGATTTGCAGTTTGCAGTTGTTAGACGGGAAGGGGGTGGTTCGACTTTGGTGACAAGAGAGGAAGGGAAGGGAGAGGTCTAAAATTTCGAAATTCATGGTAACTAAACTTTCGCGCGGNCACGGGTACCCGGCCATCCGATGACAACAACAACAACAACGAAGGAGATAGGAATCACCATGTATTCCACACCGCCATTTTGGATCGAAAATGTATCGAAAAAGTGACCCGAACTCGGCGCATACCGGGCTCGGAACTCGTCGAGCAGAACATGGCGCCAGCTCTCCCATTTACATTACGACTCTATGTACTCTATGTTTGCAGTTGTTAGACGGGAAGGGGGTGGTTCGACTTTGGTGACAAGAGAGGAAGGGAAGGGAGAGGTCTAAAATTTCGAAATTCATGGTAACTAAACTTTCGCGCGGCCCCTAATCGCGGAGAGAATGATCTTCTTAATTCCACTAATTTCTCACCCGACCACGGTAATAGGTTTACGCTTTACGCTCTTGACGGCCTCCCAAAATCAACGAATGTCCCGAAATTCCGAAACGATGAGGTTTGTTTTCGGGCTTCAAGTACAAATATTGTGCAGAGTAATTGCATATTATGCTCTCACAATTATAGCCGCTTACCGCGACCTTAGAACGCTAATCCGCAGGTGGAGCATCTGAGATTCGCTCGTGCTTATCAGTCTCGCAAACCACAAATTCTTCGCAGTTATTGCATGATGGAGTGAACGAAAATATTTTTTTTTTGGATTTGACGTCATTTCGCGAAAGAAATCTACCCTCAACGGGCCGTCGCGTTCGGAAGTTGAGCAAAAATACTTATCCGAATTGGGTCTCCTATTGGGAGGGTATGGATTCGATCGACATGAATCGATCGAAAAATGAAAACGTGAATCGATCGACATATGAATTGATCGCATCGATTGAATCAACAATTGTTAAAAAACCGGTGTCGATTCGATCGACATGAATCGATCGAAAAATGAAAACGTTAATCGATCGACATGAATCGATCGACACTGATTCGATCGACAGTTAATTTAAAAACACCCGTATCGATTCGATCGACATGAATGGATCGAAAAATAAAAACGTGAATCGATCGACACCGATTCGATCGACAACCGTGAATCAATCGACAAACCCGTGAATCGATCGGCAAACCCGTGAGTAGATCGATTAACGTTTTCATTTTTCGATCGATTCATGTCGATCGAATCGACACCGGTTTTTTAACAATTTGTCGATCGAATCGGTGTCGATCGATTCATGTCGATCGATTCACGTTTTCATTTTTCGATCGATTCATGTCGATCGAATCCATACCCTCCTTCCTATTTTATCGAGCCTAACTAACAGGAACTTACTCAAGTATAGGCACCGTAGACCCTGTCAAAAGCGTCCCCTGGAGTTTTTATGGTTATGTGGAATTGACCTGAGGTTTCACTTCATGGACTCTGAATTACCTCATCAGAAATTGCACTGCGCCATGGGAAATGGATCTGTCAAAAAAAAAATCTTGTTTCGTGTAACATAATAAGGAGCAAAATGAAAGAGAATCACGGGGCTTTTTTCAAAAGTTTCGGAATATTAGCAGAGAAGGCATAAGACTTTTCACAATTGCCTATCATTTTTTGAAGAATTCAGAATTTGTCAAATTTATTTATGCGAGCTTTCCGATATTACAGACATTTTTCCCGAAAGCGTTCTCAGTTTTTTTTTTTTTTTTTTTTTTTTTTTTTTTTTTTTTTTTTTCAAAAACGCAGTTTGCTGAACAAAATAATTGCCATTTGTCATTGTCAGGGAATTTTATTTTGTGTCAGGGAAATGAGGAAAAACGTCAGTGAATCCGTATAAATTCGACATGTCAGGGAATTTTTTTATTTTGAAAGCGATTTTCGAGTCAGGGAAACACCAGGGAAATCAAAAAACACGGGTTTTTCGAAAAGTAGTTTAGGCACCATACACTTTGCTCTGTTTATTACGTTATATTCCTAAAACATGAAAAAATTCTTACTTACATCTCATCAGTTCAACCGTGTCGAGAAATTAGGAATTTTCTTTTTTTTGGCAGGAAAATATCAGGGAATTATTTTATCCGTCTATCAGGGAATTTTAAATTTTCCCCCGGTTTTTTGGCCGTTTTCGTCAGGGAAATGTCAGGGAATTTTTCTTTTTTAAATTGTTAGATACCCTGCGCCTGCACTGCTTATTTTTCATTGGTTCACACTTTGAAATCGATTCCAGTCTTTTTAAGAACACTTTTTTCAAGAAATAAGCAGAGAGACCATAGAGGAAAAAAAGGAGGTGTTCGTATTTCGGGCATCTTGGAATTTTTTTGATGACGTAG